TTTTAGGCATCCAGAGGGGTGTCTAGAGTCTCCACGTGGGTTTGGGAGCCCTGTGGACGGTGCAATAATGTAAGCACTGCGCGTGTCCTCCCAAGGGGAGGTCCTCTACGTTGTTTCCATTATGTCACGCAATATGGTATCTTTGGGACTCGTTTTGGACCGAATGGGCTATTGAGGCACCACTAAAGGCCTCGTGTGTCAACTCTAGTGCTTGGTTTGGATTCGACTTTGCACGAGGAGATCCCATGGCTTAAGCTAAGCGGTTGGAAGGCGACACCGCATATGTGGGCTATCGAATGAAGGCATCAAGCTATGCAATGATTATGTCCATTGAGGGACTACTTTATGCTACGAGCAAGCTACAAATTGAGACGTCGCCTTACTCATGCTACATGTTGGTGCAACGCTAAGGTGCGCAATGGCCTTAGGCGGAATCTAGTACACGTGTTGGCACGAGGACTACGCCGTGGGCAAGGGATTGACCCTCGGTGGCTTGTGGGCTTCGCATGACCAAGTGGCCATCCAATATGCATCTATTGAGGCATGCTAGACCCTACGACACTTCGGGATGCTTTTAAAGACCCAACATGCAACGTTGGCTTGTCGGCTAAGTTGAGGACCTTTGCTAGCACATTGTTGTGTAGCTAGGCACCTTGATGACATAAACCTAAGTTGGGCGAGCACCTTGCTTGAGATAAGCTTGGCGCTATGAAGCGACTTATGCCGTGCTTGGTGCACTTGAGGCGTCAGGCCTACTTGTGGCATCCGGGTGAAGACGGAGCTTCCTTGTGGAGTTGTTTTGCTTAACAAAGCATTGGGCTCTAATGTTCAAACGGGTGAGATCATCAACACTCGATTTGTCAACGAGCTATGGCGAGCTTAAACTTGGTGGAGTTTGAGCGCCACACGGGCAAAAATTGATCCGCTATCCACTGTTGGGATTAGGACCATTTTGACCCTCTACTATTTAATTATGTATTATATTTAATAAAATTCAATAAAATTTAAATGTCTCAATTTAAAAATAAAATAATTTTATTTAACTTTTTATTGATGTTTTATTTATTTAATTTTTTAAAATAATTTTTTATAGATGTTTTATTGATGTTTTATTTTAAAATTTTGCTTATATTTTATTTAATTTCATTATTTAAATTTAATAGATGTTTTATTTAATTTCATTGTTTAATTATTATTATTTTTAAAAACAAATTTATTTAAAATTTTAATTAAAAAATAAACATATATTTTATTGATATTTTATTTGATTTGATTGATTTATTTTTGTTTTTTTTTTGTTTTTGTGTTTTTTTTTTGTTTTTTTTAAATAATAGTTAATAAAACAACACAGGAAAAATGATTTGCTTATATATATATATATACTCAGAGAAATATAAAGTAAAAACACATTTTGTCTTTTTTTTTTCATCAAAGCCCGGCCGGGTGTAGAAGAAGCTCGGCCGGATATACGGAGGTCCGGCCGAACATCGATGGGGGAAGGGGCTATTTTGGGCAGTTCCGCGACATTCCTTTTTAAAACAAAACAAACCCCTCACTAATCACACACCACATCAAAAAAACCTTCCCTCTCTCTCTCTCTAGGATTCCTCTCTCTCTAGATTTCTCTATTTTCTCGCAAACCCAACAACCCTCACCATTTTTCCTTTGAAACCCTTTTTATTCACTACATTTTGAACATATTGAATGTCGATTTGGTGGAGTTTGGATTTTTCTCTTTGTTTTTCTCACTATTACCCACATTTTCCTCTTTCTCCCTTTGATTTTCACACACTTTCTTTATTTTCTCTCTCATAGGGTTTTGAAATTTGGGATTTCTGCCCATTTTCCCTTATTTTCCCACATTTTTCTTCACTTTTCTCTATTTTATAAATTATGGCCTTATAAATTAAATTTTTTTAGTGTTGTTAAATTATAAATTATAAATTATAGATTACAAATTTAAAATTATATATTAAATAAAAATTATAAATTACAAGGGTAAAACAGTCTTTTAAACATTATCCTTATCTGGTCTGTCTAACCAAACATTAGATTCACTAAAAATAGTCAAATCCAGACATCTAATCCCATGACTAAACAAACGTAGGATACAAATCCAATCCAACCAAATAGTCCAGGGACAATATATTCCGAGACTAACAGTCCAATGAATTACAATCCCCCTTATCTAATCCGTCCAAACAAACACATTATGATTCCCATTTCAAATTATGATTCCCTATTTACCCCAAATAGGTAGAGATAATAATATTTCAAATTATGATCCCCTTTTCAGTCCCAAAATAATAGTAAAATATAGAACTATTACCTAAATTTTTTTGAAATTGATTGTAATATTTTTTGGAATAACAATTAACCACCACCAAAAACCTTGCTGGTGGCGGGTGCGGATAAAAACCGTAGATGTCGAGTGAACAATAGTGGGGCTTTTCCCATATTAAGTCTTTTTTGCATCTTAATTTTCAAACTAGGCCTAGTTTGGACGGATTTTCCAAACTAGGCTAAAGCGCTATTACAAATCGCACTTTCACTGTTTGGAGCCTAAAATTTGATGAATAGTGAAAATGCTATTCTAAAACGCGCTTTTGATTAAGAAAGCGCTGTTCCAAATCACGCTTTTAACATAAAAATTTTTTTCTGAAGAAAACGCTATTTGAAATAGCGCTTTCACTGTGCACACGAAGAAAACGTGGTTCCAAACCACGCTTTCACTGTACATATCTGTTTTTTTAAGAAAATATTTATAATATATTCAAATGTGATAAAAAAAAAATTTAAGTGCTTTGCAGCACAAATGGTAGTGCACTTGTTTTGCCACCACAGTGGCGTAGGTTCAATCCGCGGGAGTTGCTACCTTTCAATTAAGTTCAACTCTTTGTTTTTTTTTTTTCCTCCTTCCACTCACTCTATACTTTATATATTTATTATGTAATTTTTTTATCAAAAAAAGTAAAACGTTTGTTTAGTCAACTAATTTTTTTTTCTATATAATACAATTTTTTTCAAAATGTCAATATGATTGTTTAAAAAGTATTCAGTGTATTTGGTTTGAATTTTTTGGATTTAGTTATTTGAAAAGTCTTTGCAGCACAAATGGTAGTGCACTTGTTTTGCCACCACAGTGGCGTAGGTTCAATCCGCGGGAGTTGCTACCTTTCAATTAAGTTCAACTCTTTGTTTTTTTTTTTTCCTCCTTCCACTCACTCTATACTTTATATATTTATTATGTAATTTTTTTATCAAAAAAAGTAAAACGTTTGTTTAGTCAACTAATTTTTTTTTCTATATAATACAATTTTTTTCAAAATGTCAATATGATTGTTTAAAAAGTATTAAGTGTATTTGGTTTGAATTTTTTGGGTTTAGTTATTTGAAAAGTGAGTTTTTTTATTTTCGTATTTTTTTGTTTTTAGCGAATATTTTTAAAATTTTAAACATTTTTTTTTACTGTTTTAGATGCACCTTAGTTAGATGTATCTAAAAAGTAAAAAAATTGTGAAAAAATATTTTAAAAAATTAATAAATACATAAAAATACAAAAAATGTACTGAAAAAATATTTTTGTATTTTTAGTATTTTTTCAGCAAATTATCATTTTTTTTCCAGCAAAATGCACTCAAAAAAATATGCACAATGAAAGCGTACTCAAAAAATATTTTTTCAGCAAAATGTACGCTTTTAAAATGTACCAAAATATTTTAAAAGCGTACATTTTTTATTTAAATATTTTGGTACATTTTAAAAGCATACATTTTGTTGAAAAAATATTTTTTGAGTACACTTTCATTGTGCATATTTTTTTGAGTACATTTTACTGAAAAATGATAATTTGCTGAAAAAAATACTAAAAATACAAAAATATTTTTTCAGTACATTTTTTATATTTTTATGTATTTATTAATTTTTTAAAATATTTTTTCACAATTTTTTTACTTTTTAAATACATCTAATTAAGGTGCATCTGAAAAAGTAAAAAAAATGTTTAAAATTTTAAAAATATTCACTAAAAACAAAAAAAATACGAAAATAAAAAAACGCAGTTTTCAAATAACTAAATCCAAAAAATTCAAGCCAAATACACTGAATACTTTTTAAACAATCATGTTGACATTTTGGAAAAAATTGTATTTTATAGAAAAATTTTTTAGTTAACCAAACAAACATTTTTACTTTTTTTGATAAAAAAATTACATAATAAATATATAAAGTATAGAATGAGTGGAGGGAAAAAAAAAACCAAGAGTAAAACTTAATTGAAAGGTAGTACCTTCGGCGGATTGAACCCCACGCCACTGTCGTGGCAAAACAAGTGCACTACCATTTGTGCTACAAAACACTTAAGTTTTATTTTGATCACATTTTAATATATTATAAACATTTTCTTAAGAAAATAGATATGCACAGTGAAAGCGTGGTTTGGAACCGTGTTTGCTTCGTATGCATAGTGAAAGCGTTATTTCAAATAACGTTTTCTTCAGAAATTTTTTTTATGTTAAAAGCGTAATTTGGAACAGCGCTTTCTTAATCAAAAGCGCGTTTTGGAATAACATTTTCACTATTCATCAAATTTTAGGCTCCAAATAGTGAAAGCGCTATTTGTAATAACGCTTTAGCCTAATTTGAGATATCCGTCCAAACTAGGCCTATTTTGAAAATTAAGATGCAAAAGATTAATATGAAAAAAACCCCAACAATAGTCAAGGGAATAAAGGCCAGTTCAGTATCTGCTCAAAAAAAAAAAAAAAAAAAAAAAAAAAAAGGGAAATTTCAAAAATTTCAAACAGATCTACAAAAAAAAAAAAAAAAAAAAAAAAAAAAAAAAGGGACATTTCAGTAATTTCAACACATGAGGAGTTTAAAAAAACCAGTAAAACAGTCAAAAGCTTACCAAAACTCGATCTGGAGCTTCACACACAGTTTCTCTTCCACCCTCTCTCTCTCTCTATCTCTCAACAAACTTCAAACTCCCACCGCGATCAGAATCCACCACCACCGCTCCACCACCACCACCACCACCACCACCACCACCACCACCACCACCGTCGCTCTGGTCCGTCCACCCCAGTAACAAGACCAGAACGCAGATCTGATCCCTAGCCACCACTACAACACCTCCGCCGGGAATGGCTTCTTCGGAAGCCGATTCCCGCCTGAACCAAATCCTCACTCCTGCCCTCGACAAGATCATCAAGAACGGTTCTTGGCGCAAACACTCCAAGCTCGTCCACCAATGCAAATCGGTCCTCGATCGTCTCACTTCCCCTGAAAAATCAACCCCATTGAGTCCCACCACCCCTGACAGCACCACCACCCCCAACAACCAATCAGATCTCGACACCTCATCTCTCCCCGGCGTCCTCCACGACGGCGGCCCCGTCGAGCCCTCCCTCGCCGATTCCGAATTCATCCTCATCCCCATCATCAACGCTTGCTCTTCCGGCAATCTCAAGATCGCCGATCCAGCCCTAGATTGCATTCAGAAACTCATCGCTCACGGCTATCTCCGTGGTGAGGCTGACACTTCGGGTGGTCCCGAAGCCAAATTGTTGTCCAAATTGATCGAATCGGTGTGCAAATGTCACGATTTGGGGGACGAATCGATCGAATTGTTGGTACTCAAGACTTTGTTGTCTGCGGTTACGTCGGTTTCGCTGCGAATTCATGGGGATTGTTTGCTTCAGATTGTGAGGACTTGTTATGATGTGTATTTGGAGAGTAGGAATGTGATAAATCAGACTACGGCCAAAGCGTCGCTGATTCAGATGCTTGTGATTGTGTTTAGGAGAATGGAGGCGGATTCGTCGACGGTGCCGGTGCAGCCGATTGTGGTGGCGGAGCTGATGGAGCCGGTGGAGAAGGCGGATGCGGACGGGACGATGACTATGTTTGTGCAAGGGTTTATAACCAAGATTATGCAGGACATTGATGGGGTTTTGAATCCGGCCACACCTGGGAAATCGGGGCTGGTGTTGCACGATGGGGCGTTTGAGACTAGGCCTACACTAGAGTCGACGAATCCAGCTGATTTGTTGGATTCGACCGATAAGGATATGTTGGATGCCAAGTATTGGGAGATTAGTATGTATAAGACAGCGTTGGAGGGACGAAAAGGGGAATTGGCTGATGGGGAGATGGAGAGAGATGATGATTTGGAGGTTCAGATTGGGAATAAGTTGAGGAGAGACGCTTTTTTGGTGTTTCGGGCACTTTGTAAGCTCTCGATGAAGACTCCGCCAAAGGAGGCATTGGCGGATCCACAGTTGATGCGTGGAAAGATTGTGGCGTTAGAGTTGCTGAAGATTTTGTTGGAGAATGCAGGGGCTGTCTTCAGAACTAGTGAAAGGTACTTCTTGGCTGCATCATACCTTATGATAGGTTGTCTGAATTCCATTTATGCAATTGAGAGTTTTCAACTATTCAAATTTTGGTTTATGTATTTCTCTAGGTTGTGCTGAAAATGGAAGTGAAATCTGGAAACCTAAGCATTTAGTTGAACTTGTCAAAATATAATCTTTTTAGGGTTCCCAGCAGCCTTATAAGTGTTCTTGATATGATTTTTGATCTGAGGATTTAAATGGTGAGATATTTTTGGAATAGAATTGTTTGAGATATGGCGGTGATCAATAGTGGTTGATTGTTGAAGGCAAATGACTGATAGCTAATGATATGGTAGAATAAATGATTTGATCATTAAATGCGTGTTAAAGTTCACATTTAAACTAGATTTGAGGTAGTAAAACAAGTAGCATTTGCTTTGAGAGAGATTCTCCCCCTCCTCAGTTGTGTACAAGTATGATTCGTTTGTACCCCTTGAGAATCACTAGTCAGCTAAGGTATTATGTCAAATCCTTCCTTATAGTTGCGACGTGGGATGTATTCTTACAACCTAAGTATTTTTGAAACATCAAAATATGTTGTTTCAATCACACAGGAGCAACGGATTTAAAAGTTGTTGTTTTGTCTCCCATTCAACAATTTCATTGAATAGTGAGATCCATTTAGTTTCGTATAAACCAAACCAAACCAAACCAAATCGAGCCTTAAGTCCCATCAAATGGCGTCAGCTACATGAATCCTTCTTCTCCAAAGCTAGTGATAAGTGCTTCTCTAAGGTGTTGCCATGTGCGAAGCTTTTGTTTTCTTTGTTGCTTGTTTGTCATTTTTCTAAAACATTACCACCTTATATTAAATGTAGTTGAAATTTTAACATTCTTTAGGGATATGGCCATGATATGCTAGAATTTAGCCCTCTCATCATCCCTCCACAACATAGGCTTGGGATGAGGTCCAGGGGTCATATTTCTTTTTAAGGACAATTTTGGAAAGGAGCTCCTAATCTCAAATCAATCTCATTGTTGTCCCTACATAAGGGGTGTTTGGGAAGATAGTTAGGCTAGAATAACACACTAAAAGACAAAATATATTAAAATAGCTAATAAGACAAAAATGTTACATCTAACCTAATAATTATTTCACTTTTTCTCTCAAACCATCAAATTAACTACAAAAAAAAGCCAATCAACTTTCCAAACGCAACTATTTTGGTCAGGTTAAAATAGCCAAAAAGTCAAATAGGCAACTAAAATAGCTAACTTCCCAAACGAGGCCTTAGATTCCTTATATATTTGATTCTGGAAGAAGAAATTCGTATTTGATATTTTATAATCCCTCACTTGGATAAGATAGAATTCCCATTTTTCCATTGATCCTATTTAGTTTCCAAGTATATTATATTTGCTTCCTTTCCACTTGACTAGGTAGATTTAATCCCATTCGAATATGATGTATCATTTTCTTATTGTCTTCATTGGAGAAGATGTTAGACTTCCTTGAAAGGGGATTTGGCATCCAAATGGCCAAAATAGCCAATCAACTCAACTACAAAAAAAAAAGCCAATCAACTTTCCAAACACAACTATTTTAGTCAGGTTAAAATAGCCAAAAAGTCAAATAGGCAACTAAAATAGCCAACTTCCCAAACAAGGCCTTAGATTCCTTATATATTTGATCATGGAAGAAGAAATTCGTATTTGATAGTTTATAATCCCTCACTTGCATAAGATAGAATTCCCATTTTTCTATTGATCCTATTTAGTTTCCAAGTATATTATATTTGCTTCCTTTCCACTTGACTAGGTAGATTTAATCCCATTCGAATATGATGTATCATTTTCTTATTGTCTTCATTGGAGGAGATGTTAGACTTCGTTGAAAGGGGATTTGGCATCCAAATGCCCCCCCCTTGCCCGAAAACAAAGAAGCACAAACACTTGTACCGATGAAGCGTGTTATATTCGACACTCTTTAGACTCCTAAAAGTGTGTCTGACACTTCTTCAATGTGTCTTCATTAAAAAAATCAAATTTATAGCATCAGATACTTTAGTAATACTTCGCGAACAATTCATCGACGCTTCTTGAACCCTCCAAATACGTCCTATATGATGAATCATATGCATCACGTATCTATTGTACATCACATCATGTATTGTATATTGTATTATAAGATATATTTAACATAAGATATACATTGGCAATACATATTGATTTTTCTCTGAACATATCAAATTATAAGCTATGTATTGTGAATTGTGAGATATTAATAACATTAGTAGATAGAAATTAAAGTAAGGGAATGGTAGATATCATACGACAAGAATATTCCCCTTATTGAATATTTTTGTTATTTTAGGAACTAGGAATTTTATGTATGTGGGATTGAACTTAAAGTAATATTTAAAGAAACAAGTTAAATCAAACAAAGCCTTAAATACTATCAAATGGGGTCGGCTACATGAATCCTTCTTCTCCACCTGACTCTATCAAAAGCCATTTGGTTAGTCAAACTAAGGAGATTCATATCTTTATTTACTATACTAACCCACATCAATCTAGGTTTGCCTCTTCCCCTAACACGTCTCTCTATCGTTACTATATCGCATCTTTTCACTACTACCTCTGTTGCTTTCCATTGTATATGACCAGATCATCTCAATTTATTCTCTCTCAACTTACCTTCTATCAGTACTACTCTACCCATTCGAATGTACTCATTCTTAATACTGTTTTTTCTAGTCTTGCCACACATCCACCTTAGTATCCTCATCTCAACAACACTCATCTTATCTACATATTTTTTAATTGTCCAATATTCCGTCCCATACAACATCGCTGGTCTAATGGCCGTTCTATAGTACTTTTTTTTTTTATCTAGTGGGTACTTGTTTATCGTATAGTATCCTAGACACACTACTTCACTTAAGCCACTCACTTTAATTCTATGGATCACATCTTCTCTAACCTCCCCCGCTTTGTGATAATCAATCCTAAATAACAAAAATGTTCACTCCTAAGTAGTTCTTTGTTCTCAATCTTCTGTTTTCATTGTTACTATTTCTAAAATTACACTCTATGTACTCTGTCTTAGTTCTGCTTATCCTAAATGTTTTAGATTCAAGTGGTTCTCTCAAAGTCTCCAACTTAGTGTTAACTATTTCTCTAGTCTTATTCATAACATAATATCATTTGCAAAAAGTATACATCTATGACACATCATCCTGAATATTTCTCGTCAACTCATTAATAACTAAAACAAAAATATAAAGGCTTAAGTTTGATCCTTGGTGTAACCTCACAATAATTGAAAATTTGCTTGTATCTCAAGCCGGCAATCTAACAGTGGTCACCACACATTCATACATGTCTCTAATCACATCAATATGACCTTTTGTCACCTATTTTTTCTCTAACACTCACCAGATTACATTCCGAGGCACTCTATCATATGCTTTCTCAAGATTAATGAAAACCATATAAATCTCTCTTTTCTTTTTCTTTCTCTATACTTTTCTATTACTCTTCTCAAAAGATAGATCGCTTTCATTGTTGACTTACCGGACATAAATTATATCTGGTAATCGACGTTCTATCACTTCCTCTCACACTTTCATTATATGACACATCAACTTGATTTCTCTATAGTTGTTGTAATTCTGGACATCTGGACATCTCCTTTATTTTTATAGATTGACATTAAAGTACTCTTCCTCCACTCCTCTAGCATTTTCTAGGCAACAAAATCTTGCTAAATAACTTAGTCAACTAAGCAATCCCCTTCCTATCCAAATATTTTCAAGCTTCAATAGGGATATCGTCGAGTCCTAAAGCCTTATTCGATTTTATCTTCTTAAGTGCAATCTCCACTTCAAAGTTTCTAATCCTGTGATAGAACCTGTAGTCTTGGTTTTCCTTATTACTGGCTACTTCCTCCCCTTTTAAGCTTCCTCCATGTTCTTCATTTAAAAAATTCAAACAATAACAAATATGAATAAAAGAATTTATATACAATTTTTTATTGCCTTCATGATGCAATTAGATATTTTGCATGAAAATCAAGCACATACATTTTTTTAATTGATTTGTCAAAATTTTTATTTAAAAAAATAATAAATATGAATAAAGCATTTATATACAGCACCATAATTAAATTCATATAAAAATGTAAATGTCAGACATCAAAGAAATAAAAAATTGATAAACACACTTGTCACATTTGTGTAACTGATCTTGAGCAATTAGACCACACTTTGCCACACTCAATGAGTACAAGAAAGGTTCATCACCGATGACTCAATTTGGAGAGGGACAGGAAGCCGTAGAGCACACGATGGGAGAGAGTCGAACACGTGGGTCGATTGAATTTGGAGAGAGAGAGAGAGAGAGAGAGAGAGAGAGAGGAATCTTTATTTGGTAAAAGTCATAAAGAGAGAGTGTTAGAGGGGGTTGAGAATGATGGGGGTAAGAATGTTGTTACCAAAGTGGGTTTTGGTAGCATTCTATTTAATGTGAAATTATTTTATGAGGTATTGATAATTTTTTATTAAAAAATAAGAAGTATGCATTCGATGCATAAAATTGAGAGATTTATTTACTTGGGTTTTGTTAATGAGAGTCCTAAGGGCATTGGTTAACAAAGCTTAAAATGGTTGCATATTCTTTACGACACTCTTTTACAAGGAATATACAACCATTCAAGCTTCTTGACGAGTGCCTTTAGGGTATTTGTTAACAAAAACCCTCTTTATTTATGGGAGTGGGACTATACTTATTTATACAAGATGCATGATCTATTTTTTTGGACAAATATTCTATACTAAAAAAATAAGGATACTAGGAAAGGTAATTCTAAAGGGATTTGTTTTAAAAAGTTAGGTGAGGCCATGGTTCCCACCCCCCCTTCAACCCACCTTGCTTCTGACCTTTGATTGGAGATGACTTATAGAATAAACAGAAGATGGGCTAAGTGGAGGTAATAGGTTTGTGTTGGGTGTGGTAAAATGAGGAT